TAAAAACTTTCATACAATAAGCTTAGCTTTTATTGATGTATATTTCTCCTTTACGACTACTACTCTTTTGTGTATACCTTGAAAGCTTTTCCGTCAACATTCCTGGGACTTTTCTTGAGAAAGGAAAGAAACAGATGTCGTGAAAGATCGTCAGGTGTTGTAACTTCCAGATATGTGTCCAAGAATTTTCGAAATCCTTCATAGTCAATTTCCTGAAAAATAAATTTTTATTTTTATTAATCTATTTTATCAAATTCTTCAAAGAGATATCAATGATATTATTTTATTTAAAACTTCTTTCACCATTAAACATTTTAATTAATAATTTTATTTACATTTTTATTATCTGATTTTATTTAGCAAAGAGATAAAGATAAAAAGACTATTTTTAAACTTTTTTTTTTTTCTTTCTATCTCTTCTTTTCATTTATATTAAACAATTTTTTATTAAATCTAATGTGAACGAGTTTCAGAAAGGAGCTTTTGAGCTTTGAAATGGCCTTTGAACAATCACTTTATCTTCATTTTTTCAAGAGTTGTAGAAGTTTAAAGTGAGCTTGTCATTCTAGACTCAACAACTTGAAATATATTTCGCTAAAAAAATTCTAATCATTCTAGTATTAAAATTATTGTTTAATTATATTATATTTTTAGTATCTGATGGTAGGTAGTTATAATGATTCAACTTCCAAGAATATCAAAGTTAAATTGTGCAACTTTTTCAAAATGTCAAAATATTGTCATTCAAGCACCAGAAAGAGAGAAAAAAAAAATGGAAACAGATTTCTCTCGTTATTTATATTTTCCAAAGTCGTTACAGAGTGAATAATGATGCAGTATGGTTGTCATAACAACAATGAAAAATAGCCTTCCATAAATATTAGATTATATTCATCACAACTTTCTGCTCACGAATATTTACTTTAGCTTAGTAAATAGCGTGATCAAGTATTTTACATAGGAAAAATACCAAGTGAAGTTTAAATAATTTAATTACGTTGAATTTAATTATTACTCCATGAACTTATCAGGAAAATATAAAAAATTAGCAATTGATCATTTTAAAAATCATGAGATAATAAAGAGTTGACTAACTTGTAAATAGTATCTCTATTTTTTTAATCAACTGTTAATCTGATATGGATGCTTACGGTCATATTTGTACAGCTATTCAGTTCTGGTTAACAAATGAACACGATTGTCTTCAGTGAGAATTCAACTAGGGTTGAATGATAGCATTGGAGATATTATACTTCTGTTTTTTTTTTTCAAATAAAAATGGAGATGAAGTTGCTAGAGTTTTTGATGAAGTAAAAGTGAATTAAGAAGTGGCAAATGAATTATTTCTGATAGCAGTGATGAAGCAGTTGATTACTTTCCTGATGATTTGTCATGTTGGAATGATCAGTGCACACCTTAAAGTTCAATCTAGAGTCCAAGAAATCATCAATTGTTTATCAGAAACTAGTAAGTTTTTTTTTTTTTAGAAAATATTTTCTGTTTCTCTAGTCTAAGATAACTGCATTGAAGGAAAAATATTGCTTTTGTAGAGACATGAATCAATTGCTTTAGCTCTCTCTTCTGAATGTTGTTTTTTTTTTTTTAGTATTACTCTGAATGAAATAATAGTTTGAGTATTCAGTTGGATGTCTATGAGTGTAATTCAAATATATGTTACAGCAATTTACCATTATCTTTCAAAGTAATAATAACAGTTATTTATCAGATATCTGCATATATTTAATGTTGATTTGCTTTCTTTAAGTTCTTTAGTGTTGGAACATTTGACACACTGCTAATCCAACAGCTTATGAATGTGTTGCTAGAAATATAATTTAATAAACCCATTGAAATAGATGCTAACGTGAATTCTAAATTCCTGATCCTTCTAGAAATATGTAAACAGTTTTCAGTTTAACTAGAGTAATCTTGCTGTAAAGATCAAATTGTGTGTATATTAAAATAAAGTCTCCAAATAATTATAATGGACATTTTTATGTTTATTTTAGATTAATGTTATCCTTAAAACGTGTTGAAATAACATTCATAAAGTGTGTTCAATGTAAAATCTTCATAAGCAAGTTATACATAAAGATTAGTATGATGTAGCAAAATCCTAAATACTATCAGAGTTTTAATTTCAAAGCCTTCATCAGCATAGTTTTGTGAAGAAGACTTTTTTCAAAATGACTCTATTAATACTAACTATTCTGAACATCACGTCATTGTTGTTAAAACTACAATATCGACATGACTGATAATATCATTTTAGCGATAGTAATAAGAAGTGATGTTAAAAGTAATATTTTTTTTTAATTTCTCAAAAACTATGTAGAGAAGAATGGAATTTAGGCTATGAAATTATTTAGCATTTATCTACATCACATTAAACTTTCATCAAAGTCTTATCATGTTGTAAAGTTTCTTGAAATTCTTGGAGTGGAATACTTTATCAAGATGACATTATAATTTAAGTTTATTTTTAATTATTAAGAAGGTATTTTTTTCAAGATTATTCATAATTAATAAAAACTATTTCGTCTGTTAAATCAGACTGATGATAAATCGCAAATAGGCAGACTGATGCTAAGTTGCAAATAGGCAGACTGATGATAAGTTGCAAATAGGCAGACTGATGCTAAGTCGCAAATAGGCAGACTGATGCTAAGTCGCAAATAGGCAGACTGATGATAAGTTGCTAATAGGCAGACTGATGATAAGTTGCTAATAGGCAGACTGATGCTAAGTTGCAAATAGGCAGACTGATGCTAAGTTGCAAATAGGCAGACTGATGCTAAGTCGCAAATAGGCAGACTGATGATAAGTTGCTAATAGGCAGACTAATGCTAAGTTGCAAATAGGCAGACTGATGCTAAATCGCAAATAGGCAGACTGATGATAAGTTGCTAATAGGCAGACTAATGCTAAGTTGCAAATAGGCAGACTGATGCTAAGTCGCAAATAGGCAGACTGATGATAAGTTGCTAATAGGCAGACTGATGCTAAGTTGCAAATAGGCAGACTGATGATAAGTCGCTAATAGGCAGACTGATGATAAGTCGCAAATAGGCAGACTGATGATAAGTCGCAAATAGGCAGACTGATGATAAGTTGCTAATAGGCAGACTGATGCTAAGTCGCAAATAGGCAGACTGATGCTAAATCGCAAATAGGCAGACTCCATATTTAATGATCATGAATATTTACTGAATATCAGTAGCACTCCTATCATCAAGTGAAACATAATTGTACTGATACTTCACTGAAACCAGTGAACAGTCACTGATTTGCATAGGGTTTTACTGATTCAGTTTAAAAAAGCAAAAAAAATTTTTCTTGTAATTATTATGAAATAAAACAAAAAAATTTTTTTAATAATTATAAAGGTCCTTTCGAAGCGTCCATTAATCGACTTATGAGCATGACAACTACCTAAATAAATTTATTAACACTGTAAATCTGTAAATTTTTTGAAGTATTTTATTTCACTGCACTTAAAGTGTCTCAATATGACACGTTACTTGTTCTAAATACATTGTAATTATTTTTCATGCATTAAATTTAAAAAACAATACGATATTCAGTTAAGACAAAGGATAAATATTCAGTTCAATTTTTCAACACTCACTTTTTCATTTATATAATTAATCATCTTGAATGTTTATTTCTAAAACTAAGTAGAGATAAATTTTCCAACTGTCTCTGCTTATTAAATACGTACCATAAACTATTCAAAGTACATTTGCAAGAGAAATATTTTTGTTGCAATGTCATCTTGAAGATATTTAAGAAACATTTGAAAATTTTCTTCATGTATTGTTAGATTTATTATTCTAGAAACATAAAACTTAAATAAAAAAAAAAGAAAAAGCACTTGGAATTATTATTTTATTTTTTTTTTTACAGGAACAAATGATAAAATTATGCATTCCAACTTATCTCAATCCTGTAGTTGTCACAGGAGATATAGGTCAACAATTACATTTATCTTCAAATTCAAACGACTCTTTATCCATAATTCTGGTAAACAATAAATTCTCAACAAACACCAACAATCAACAATGGTATCCAAAACGAGCAACCTTTATTATAACATTGGATATCCAAGATGAAAGCTTAAAAGACTATCTTTCGATATTAAATTTTTCTCCTTGGTGGAATGTCAAATCGTTTTTCATCTTCGTCAAAATTAACTCATGTGATGATGCCGCAAAAGTACTGAAGACAGCATGGGAAAAGCAGCTATTGTCATCTTTATTCCTATGTCATCAAACTGGAAATGACGTTGTCAAGTTGTATACCTATAATCCTTTCACAAATCGTGCTCCTGATCCTTGGGAAATATCAAAAGATGTCGATAATCTCCATCACCAGTGGACATTGTATGAACAGCCATTTCAATCTGGTATGTTAACATGACTGAAGCTAAAAATATCAAAAAACTTTTCCTTCATTTCATTCATTTCCTTCATTTTTATTCTTTCAAATCATCAAATACATCAATTAAATAATTTTATTTTTAAACATTTAATCCTTTAAGAAGGATTAGCTAATCCCAGAGATGATGTAAGTATTATTATTTCAATAAAATGTGATATTTATTATTTTAATTCAAAGCAGTATGATGCAATGTGGATGAAGTAGAGTTTGTTGAACTAGAATCATCAATTAGTTAGATAAAAAATAAATCAGTTTATACTATAAAGTGATAATCACTTGTATTAATGTTTATTTAATCAAAGTTCTAAGCTTAAGTAATTATTGTCTTGTTCTTGGCTAAATAGACAAGGATGGAACATTGACTTAGAAGTTGTTTGCGTGTTTGTTCATCTGTTATTCAATCAAGCAGACACTCGTTGACAAATCGACTAGGAATTCCGTGTCTAGTGGATTATTAGCTTCTGAATCATCATAAAAATTACTGATCAACAGACATAACTTATGGGGAATAAATTTTTATAAAAAATTATTAAGATTTATATTAATAGAGACTCCATTTGGAAACCTCTTAATCTCTACTTCTAGAAATATTAAATCGAGAAAATGGCTTATAGATTCTTGAGTAAGGTAAACTGCCTTAATTCCAGACACTTAAACTACATGACATTCATTTTGATAATATAAAAATATTAAATTATCAATTTACAAAATAAAACGTGCTATTATTAACTTTAATATTTGGTGATTATCAATCAATCATTAAAATATTTTTTATTCATATCTAAATATTTTTAAATTAAAATTTATGTTAAATTAAAATTTGTTAATAAAAGGATTGAGATTAAGTAGTGACTAACATATCCTTTATAAATCGCTTGAAAGGAAAAATATTCGCAATACTGATTTTAAGGATACGAGCATTCCATAGATAGCGTCAGGGAACTTTGTGACCGAAATTATTTTTTTTTATAAATAAAAAATATTTTTTTTTTTTTTTGGAAGATGTCTTAGAATGTCCCGCCTTCCCCTGCACTTAGCCACAGGGCCTTTGTACAGGGTCTGTTTGCACAGTACAGGCGGTCGTCTTATGTCTTAGGCCTGCAGGTTCCCTAGGTTCCCAAGTTGCCTTGGTTCCCTTCTGAGCCCCGAAACAGTCCCTGTCCCATTAAATTTGGAAATTTCATTGCAGAATAAGAAAGTATATAGATGAAAATATATAATTAAATCAATATTTTCTCAGTTATAAATAAACTATTGCTTAATGTTTAACAAAAATAACGACTATCCGGAATTAGCTAAAAAAAAAAATTAAAAACAAGTTATTTTTACTATTATGATAAATAAAATACTCAAATTTTACAAAAAATAACTCCATTTTTTCTTTTAAATTATTTAAAACAATTATTTTATTTATTTATTAGATATTTTATGATTTAAATAAGCAAACAGTGTTATCAAGATTTAAAGATAAATAAAAATATTTGATATTAAATAAAACTTGACAATTATAATTGATTAATTAAAAAATTATGAAACTTTTGATTATTTTATTTAACAAGAAATCTGAATTTATTTGTACCATTCAGTTTAAGTGTTTAACCTAACTTTTAATTCAACTTTATATATTTATTATTGCTAAAGTGAACTAGATTTTTTTTAATTATTAGCTACTACTTTGAAAACTTCTATAGATTAATTTTGAATTTTATTAAATGAAAGAATCTCTTTAATTGATTGACCAAGAAGTAAGAGATGTTACTTCAACTATACAATACTCTTCTAGTCTATCGTGTAACGTTTGCGTGACAATAACAGAGAATTAAAGTAATAAATCAATCTCAATAGATACCACCAAACTACATCAATTGACGTTAAAAATGCCTCGAGACAATCCTGAGGAATTTTCACATTGATTAGAACCATCATCAACATCAGCACACAAACCAAGATGTTATACACTTTTTTTTTCTCTAACTTTAAATTTGATTAACTCCTGAATTAATGGTCGTACATCAATGAACTAGAGCTCATTTTAAAGCTAAGAATGTCTTCTTTAAATTAAGATCCTTAAACTTGATAGTAAAATTATTTTATGATGTTCTAGGTCTAAACATGTGTACGAATCTCACATTCGACAGATTAAAGGAAATGGATGGCTATCGCATAAAAATGATTGGAATCCCATTGCCAGGATCAAAATGGGCACGAAACGAAACTTACAGTATCTCAAGTTTTACAACTCATATTCCATTTTACAACAGAAAATTTTTCCAAACGTTATTTTCTATCTGGAATGTGACTCCAATCATTAAATACGATGACTTTGGAACAATCGTCAATGGAACAGTGGTTGGATTTCTTCAAGATTTTACGACTGGTGTTTACGATCTGTCTTACACAGTATTCCGAATTGACAAGGCTTATAATTGGAGTGTAGCCTATCCATTTCGCCAGCTTTCATTGATGATTCAAACCCAAAAGCAAGATTTCTTGACCACTGAGGAGAAGATTTTATTATTCTACAGCTCCTGAATCCTGGTGCTAGCTATAGTTGTCTTCATCATTTCTACTGGGTTTGTCATGATTAATAAAAGCCAAGAATTCATCTCTGCTATGTTGGAGATGTTCAGGCTGTTAGTGGACACCAGCATGCAACAACCTTTGATCAATCATTCTGTTAGAATTTACTTCTTTGGAGTCTACTGGTTGATAACTGTTCTGAATGCATCATTCACTGGAAACTTGGCTACTTTTTTGACTAAACCAAGTCGGCCTACTGTGGAAACTATCCAGGACTTGAAGATCAAGAAGTATGATACTTATATTGAAGCAACGTTGCATGATATGATTGGACGTAAATTTCAGGTTGGTAATTAATTATTTTAGTAGACATAAAAAGTAGAGAGGTCCAGCTTATTTGTTCAGGAAGACTTAAAATACATTAATTTTATTGGAACCCAACAGGTTCTAGGTAATCATCTCCATGAAATAAATTTCCGAGACTGTCACAAGTATGTCGTAAAGAATCATCAAGCTGCATGCATTGCTTTGACATCTAGAGGATATAAACCAGCTTATCGGTATCAATTTCATTTGTCAAAACCACAACTACCAATGTACACATCTTTCATTGGATCCTTAGACTCGCCTTTTATTGAAAAAATCAGCAGGACATCATCATTGTTCATCGAATCTGGACTCCAAGCACACTGGGATCATCATGCTTCTTATCGCTTCATAAAAAATTTAACTGCTACTGAAAATCTAGAAACTTCACCCAGGTACAGGCCAATTAAAATGGAAGATATTCTGTTTGCTTTCAAGCTATTGTTTGTAGGTCTTGGACTATCCTTAGGTGTATTCATGGTGGAGTGTTGTGTTAATTATCAAGGAAGAAAACGAGTTAGAAAAAAAGTCAGAAGAATATTGAAGATGAAGTTTGTCAAGAATTGGTAATTAATTTAACTCTTCTTGACAATAGAGATTGCTATTGGCAATCTAAATTGCTTCTTTACATCTTGGAATTATTTAATACTTTGTAAGATCAGTGAAATATAGTTCAACATTTAAAAGCTCAACAAAGTAGTGATGGAAAAGAGGAAAGTAAAGTGGAACATTTAGATGTAGACTCTATTGTAATTCATAAATATTTTTTACCTTTCTCCTATTACTTTTTAAAATAAATAAATGTAATGTAATGATCTGTGTAGTAATTTTAACAGTAATTATCAGCTGAAAAATTTTTAATTATAACTCAGAAGAAGAAGAAGAAGTTGAAATGCCTAAAAGATTTATCAATTGAGAACTACTTAATTACTTTGTAATTAAATCGATAGAATGCCATAGTTATCTAATTACTTTCTGATACAATTAATAGCAATGTGAGAGCTCAGTTTCAGTTTTGCATTAATCAAGTATTTTAATTAATAAATTTTAGAAAAAGATCTTTCAAGAATTGATTAAAGTATTTATTTAAAAAAAAATGTATCAATTTATTATCAAAACTGTTGATGAACTGTTAAAAGAAAATGAATTAATGGTGATAAACTAAACTCAAACAGGCTTGTTATTTTAGAATAGATTATACCAACCCCTAATATTAGATTGTTATTATACAAATATTTTACCCTATACTTGTACACATCAGATAACAATATCCTGATTGATTGATCTATTTAATTTATATTAGAATGCTAATATCATAATCCTCGATTACCATATTGCCTCATATATCTAGAATCAATAAGTCTTATCGTATCACCTTGGTATTATAATAGTAATTATTTTAACATTGTTATCCACACTTTAATTACTTAAAAATAAATCTGTAAACAACATTTTGATATTTTTTTTTTTTTTTAATTTTAATATTAATTATTATTAAGCAAATAATAAGATTATTGTTATTAAAAATATTTTTATTATGTTGAAACTTTATTAATTGTTATAAATAAAATTTAATATTTAATATTTAGCTTTTTTTTCTTTTTTTAATTGTTCTTCAAAATTTTATTTTTATTGAATTAAAATATCGGTCTGAGTGGGATCCAATATAAACAATGTCTTATTTGTTATTAACAATATTTTAAAATCCATCGTAAAACCACTCACTGCAAATCTCAAATATAGAAGTGTTTTAAATTGAAACATTTAAAGTGTTTTAAAATAACGTCACCCATTTGATTAATATTTCAATCACTTTTTAGATACTTGGAAGTGTTTAAAAAGTGACTACAATGTTAATCAAATGGGTGACGTGATTTTAAAACACTTTAAGTGTTTTAAATTAAAATACTACGATTTGCAGTGCTGATATTATTGTTATTATGCTGTTATAAGCTTAGTATTGTGTATAACATTTTTATTTTTTACAATGACAAAGTTTTTTTTTTTAATGATATTTATAAACAATTAATGGATGTCTGAGGAACACGATAATAATAAAAAAAATGACTCCAATGATATTTAGAAGCTGCATGAGTAAATAGTACGATTCATTAATTGTCAAATTCAGCTGGTTTACTATTTTTCTAGTTAATTTTTATAAAAACTCTATCCAGTCTTAGTAACACATAATTGTGCGTTGAATTAAATCAATCTCAATTCGATATCATTATTTGTACAACGAATGTACACACACATACACACACTCTAAAAAATAATAGTTGAGTCCCATAGTTGGATTTACAATCCTGTGTTAATTTCTCATTGGACAGAAAATAGTTGGGCCCTTTTTCGAATTATTAATAATAAATCCAACTATATATTTCTTTCAGTGCACACAGATGTCTTTTTAAAAACCGTAGTACTCGACTCTAGGAACCTAAAAAAATCAGATCCATTATAATAACTTTCTACTTTAAAGTTAATTAATCCTAACTATTAACAACAAATTATTAAAAACTCTATATAAAGTGAACTCATTTGCTTGGTAATATTTTTCTATCACTCTTGGAATGTCTTTCCATCAATATTAATCAATAGAACATCTCAAAATAAATAATCGCAATAATTAAACAAAAGTGCCTCACAAATATTAACAATAAATTTTTATAATTTACCTTATAAAATAAATCTCAACTTTCCAATAAATTTAAATATATTTTTTCAATGAGCCACAATGAATGAAATGCAAGCTCTTTCATCCACTAAATTTCCTAGACTCTTAGATATTGATTAGCATCGAATTTTTTTTTTATTCATTTTATTGCTAATTTTATTGCTAAATAAAAATATCCCAACATAAATGAGTGGATAAAGAAAATTATAGATGGTGACGTGCAAAAAGAGGATGCGCAGTGACCTGGTTCCTATAGGAATTTAGTGACGCCTACTATGACGTCAGTCGTTGAAGCAATGACGTCACAATTTAATGTATATAAAACTCTTAACTGCAAATCGTAATGAATTTTTATTTTTCTTTAGACATTTTTATTACACAGAATATACTTTACAATTAAACTAAACACGTACATTTTTTTATTTTTTTTTTTTTTTATTATCTTATCAATAAATTAACTGACTCTATTTGTTTATAATATCTTCTCTTCACTATTATCTTCCTTCTAAGAAAAGAAAACTACCCTTCTTTAGATTGCAAGAAAATAAAAATAAATTAATTCTTTTTTTATTCGAAAAAAAAAATAACACTCAATTACCAGGAATTTCCTTATCGAAAAGCACAATACCCTAGTAACTGTCATCCATTGATGAAAAAATTGAAGGGTAAGGGATAAAAAAAAAAAAAGAGCAACAGTAAATCAAAATTTTTTTTTTTCAATGTCAAGAAAGATTACGCAAAAGCTTATGAATGAAAAAAGCATTAAGCAAAAATCTATTTTTCTTTCTTTATTTGATGGAGTAAAGGAAATGGCTGACCAGTGATTTAGCATAACTACTTGGTTCAATATGTGGTCATCAATTACATTTAATTGCTTGAAATTGGTATTGAAAAATAGATGACCAATATCCCTTTCTCATCACTAACAACCATATCACATCTCAAAGAGAATTTGTTAGTGACTAGATAAAAATAAAAAAAGTATACATTTCCTTTTGATTAAAATAAATATTTCCCTTTGATAAAGGGATCTTCAATTAGGGGTGGAAAAATTGACGATACAGATTGAGAAGCGATTTGATAAAGTTTTCGATAGATTGCATTACTGATTAACTTTGTTTTTATCTGTGTGTGTGTGTGTGTTTTTGTTTTTAGTACACCTGTTATTCATAGACACCCCTCTGATACATTTAAGAACTTAATCCAAAATTTAATCTGAAGTGAGGACGACTTTAGTTGAAGAGATTAAAACAATCAATACTTTTTCCAACTGGTTTAACATTTTTTTGTTCCTTCCAATCAACTAACTCAGTATTCAACGAGTTAATACGATAAAGAGGCGAAAGAAAAAAAAAATGTGAATGAAAAGGGCAAAAACTTGGATAAATAAAGAAGAAAAAGGGAGATGTGACCTACTTTTTAACATATAGGGTTATCTAGGAGTATTTAAAAATTACTTGGTATTTTATTCTGCAAACTGATAAGAATTATTTGTAATTATTGAAGAAGACTTTTTAATTGTTAAACAATATTTTGTAGCAATTAAAAAATCATATAACTATTAAGATATAAAATGGAATTAATGCAATTCATATTTTATTGTAAATTATGTGTGATTTTCTTAATATTAAATTTTATATATTTTTAATAATAATATATATTATAACTTAGTGTTTTTTATATATCTATATCACCTAGCTTTCTAAATTCCTCAAACCCTCTTTCCTACACTGATAGAAGAGATTTAAAAATTTGAAAAAAAAAAAAGGATTTTTTAATTATTAAAATCAATATTTTTTTTAACAATTAATAAATATTTTTATTTTATAACAATAAAAAAGCCTTGATTGTAAACCCATTAGTGGTTTTATAATAAATAAATCTTATTTTATCGTAAGGAAATATTTTTTAACAATTAATAAACCGACGTTCGTAACGCCATCTACCTTTCAATCAACCAGAACTGTTATATTTATTATTTCGCCCTTTATAACCTCACTTTTTGGGTTATGGATATTTTTTATTAATCGAAATATACATGAAATAAAACCAAATCCTAACCTCATTCGAATGTTATGCCATTTTATATTAAAAAAAAAATTATATAATTAAGAATAAAATGTGAATTATATAGGTTATATTACGTTTCTTAATAATAACGAAAAATAATTAAATGTTAAAAAATATTTTTTAACAGTCAAGAAGCCTCCTTTATTATAACAAATCTCTTCTATCACTGCTTTTTTTTCTAATAAACTCTTTTATTAATATATAATATTCTATCTTTTAAATTTTTCCACACTAGTGTCTTATCTTCAACTTTCCACACTAAAACTCATCATGGCTTTAAAACCAAATATTTTCCAAATATTTTATCTTTTCAATAAAGTGAATTTATATATGAAAAGTAGGTTTAAAGAGGTTTTAAAAAAGAAATACTAAATCATAAAAACATCATAAAAATCTTGACTTTAATATCCTCAAGCAGTAAAATAATTTCCCTTTATTCATAAAGAAGTGAAAAATCACAAAAAAAATATGTACACTAGATACAAAGAAGAAAGAGTCAACAATTTGGTGCCTAAAAATACAACCAAGGGGTGGCTTTAATTAACCTCGTTATAAACACTACACACCCTTCTTAAGTACACTGGAAATATATTTTTTTTTTTTGTTTATAATTATGACATATGGCGTTTATAGATTACTACTTTATCTATCAATTTAACTAACGATCGGAGTATATTTATTTTATTGGTATTCAATTGAAGAATAATACACGATGCTGTGAAGCATAAGGAGTGTAATAACCACATTACACTCAAATATCCTTCATTATATGACGTCGTAGAATGAACATTTCAATGTTGCTATGGATTCAATGATGCTATATTTAAAGAAATACACATGGTAAAAGAAAAATTGATATTGATAAATGTTGTTGATGTTTAAGATGCTGTGGCATCATACAAAATAGATATTTCAGTTAAAAAAAATGACGTCATTATTTTAAAAATATTTTAGTAATGGAAGATAAATAATTTATTCAGTAATTTTATACTATCGTGATTCCTTCATTTTTTATTTTGGCTCTAAAAAATCGAAAAATCATCCGATTTGAAGGATTTTTTTTTTAAAATCTTCGTTTTAAAGTCGGATTTGCAAAAAAAATACGGGGATAAAAAAAAATAAAAAATTACATTAATTTCAAAGCTTTAAATGAAATAAATAAACTTTAAATAAAGTCTTTAGATTTTTTTTCTTTAATCTACACAAAAAAAAAAACGTTTTCATATTTTTTTTCATAAATCCGTCGTAGAAACAAGGATTTAAAAAAAAATAAGTCTTTAATGATTCAATTGAAATGAATAAATAAATAAATAGAGAATTATGTGACAATAAATGAAATATTAATTGACTCGTTTTTTTTTTCTCTGAAAAATAAAAAAATCTGCCAACTAGTTCATAAATAATCATCTGATAAAGTTGACAAAGCTTCAAAAAGGCAGCTAAGTCATTTCTTTCTCGAAATATATTTATATAATCCGATTTTAATGAGAAAAAATGACACTATGGCAGTTGAAAAGTGAATATTTCAATTGAGAAATGCAAGTTTTAAGAAAAGCCTCTGTGAATATTTTTCATCATCTTTCTTATTTAAAAGTAAAGCAAGTGAAAATAAAAAAAGAAGAAAATAATAATAGATAAGAATTTAATTATTATAAAAAACTAGAAAAATGTATAAGACAGTTCTAATGAAAGGTACAAAGAGCAAAGAAACAAGGAAGATATTGGACGAGAGTTAAAGAAGGGATGAGGGTGTGGTTGCTTGGAAACGTGACGTCATTCTTGACGTAGTGTTGGCATTCAGTGTGACAGAATGAGTAGATAGAGGAATACGAAATTTAGTTAATATTATGCACATCCAAGGATTATTGTCCTGATTACTTTATTTCGATCGATACATATTTTACATATGTATACTGATTAATCATTTACATTTACATCTACCAAATTAATTCTACATTTTAATTCATCTATAAATTCATTCAAAAGTAATAATCTATTTTAAATAAATAGTTATAATTATAAATAATGGAACATTAATCAGCAATAATAGTGGACAATATTAACTAAATGATAATAATAAACAATGATATGCAAGTAATAACGAGTAAACAATAATAATAATAATGAGAAACTTAATTTTTAATAATCAGTATTTGTTAATTGATGTGTACTTTTAATCAAAACTGTTAATTAGATCCAATCATTTTAACTAGAAAGTTGATCCATTTTTTTAAACTGAATCAGTGAAAATTCACTGATTGATTTAAAAGAGCAATTTTGCTTGTTTGAATTTTTTTTTTTTTTTAATGCTACTCCTAGCTTTCTTGTCGGTAACTTCGATCAAGGATTTAGTATTTATGTAAATCTCAATTATTATAATAATTGAATCTAATAATTATAATTAGAAAGCTAATTACTTTTTTAAACTCAATCAGTGAAAATTCAATGATTGATTTAAAAGAGAAATTTTGCTTGTTTGAATTCTTTTTTTTAAAGCAACTCAAAGCTTGGATTTTTAATAAAATTCTTCAACAATTATTGATTATTAATTAAACAAATCGAGTAAGGTTATTTCAGATCATTTATGGGTTTTCCATGTATTCAGCTATTATGACCTGAGTTAAACCTATTGTAGGTATCATTAAGCTAACTATTTAATTCAGAACATAACTAAAACAAAGTACACTCGCCTTTTTTTGTTTGTTATCTTCAATTGTTTGAATAAAATTATTTACATGAATTTATATAAAAGTTTAAACTCAAAAAAAAAAAAAAATTAAATTCTACAACAAAGCTTTTTGATATTCTTTAGTTTACATTCCATTGATGTAAAGTCGTTATAAATAATTTGATTTGAGAATTATTACATCAGCAAACACTATTCTATAGTATATTTAATAAAATTATTATTCTAATTCTAATTTAATTCCACTATTTACATTTATTTATAATTAATATACAGATAAAGAAATATTTCATATTTAATTGTTGATTTTAGTTGAATATTTGTAATGTTAATTATACACAGTTTGTCGGTAATTAAGGAAATTAAGTAAACTTCAAACTGAGAAATAAACATAAAAACAAAAATATATTTTCTACCTCTAAACTTTCAAACTTAACTTCTAGTAATAAAAATTCACGTTGATTCAACCAAGTTTGATACTTTAATCCTCTGTGTACTTGAATCAAGAAGGACTGAAAGTTTAAAAAATTTTTTAAATATTCAAGTTTTCCGTTATTTTCTTATCAACTTTTATCTTCACACAAACTATTATAAATCACGATATATATTCAATTTTTTTTACAAACTTGACACTTTTCCAACACACTTTTATATGTAAAAAATGCTTAATAAAAATAAATATTTGAAAAAGGAAAATATTTTGTTTAATATTAATTAGATTAAAATAAAGAGAAAAATTTTAATTAATGAATAGTAAACAATTTAAAATGATTTCGTCAGAATAAAACTATTTATTTATTTTTTTTAATTCAAAAAAAAAAAAAAAAATTGTGATTCCAAGGTGAAATTTCAATGTTTATAAATATTTAAATTCAAATAGCAAAGACAAAAAAAAAAATGGAGCCTTCAAATGTATTCCTATCAAACATCAATAATGCATATCCACAGATGCATATCTTCAGCGAAAATATAAAAAAGAAAATAATGCAGTAAATATTTAACTGATTACTAAAATATATACATATATATAAAGAAGACTACTGAATTATTATAAAGATTTTGACACTCATTTCAAAAAGCATTAGGTAAAATAATATAAATAAATATGAGTCTAGAATAAAATTTAAAAACTGGAAAAAAGCGAATGAAAGATATTTAAAAAAATATATATATACATAAAATGAAATATTGAATATCTTGGCATGATTTATGCAACTGTCTGCATACAAAACTATTTATCTAGATATTTACTACCACGTCATGCACACTAACAACTGGATGAAACTGGAACTAAAAAAAAAAATGGTTAAAGATGATGCAAAAGAGTACAAAAGTTTCCCCGCCATACGCATCAGATAGCAAAAATTAATTAACACCTATTGAATTCACTGAAATACCGACTGTCGGTACATTGAATAATCGATTTATCGATATTTTACAAAAAATAATCAATTCAAACAATTCTCACGATTTTATAATGTAAATATAAATGATTAATTGATTAATTGGTTTTAACAAACGTTTGACGTCATCAGGTTCGTTAATGTCTTTTTGAACCCTCCATCAACATACAAACACAAACATACACACACTTGATGTTATCGTTATGTTTGGTTATAGAAGAAACTACATAACAATGCATCAAATGACTTTTTTTCCTTTTTATTTCACATTTTATCACATTTTTTATGATCATCTCGACCTTTTTTTCCACAGAAGAGCGTGAACGGTTATACAATCAGCATGAATGTAAGACAAAATACAATAAGGGGATGATGATAGAGAGTTATTGATTGATGTAATCATTTTAATAACAATCGAGTTGGTGAAAAAGACTAGATAAGTGTTTAAGTCAGCAGAAGAATTTTCGTTTTTTTTTTTTTAACGTCATTTTATTCAATCTGATCAAGATTTTTATGCTCCTTTGATTTTGATAATATCCAATTGGATAATATTCCATGCGAAAAAATTGATTCAATTTTAGTTTTGGATTGGGAAATTTTAAAAGAAAAGAATTATTTTTTGTCAAAATATTCAGCAGCTTTCTAATGGCTTTCATTTTGAAATCAACACAATTTTTTTTTGTATTTTCAAAAATATATAAAGCTCAGTGTGTATTAAAATTGACGAGCTTTGGCGCAATTTGCCTTTAAAATATTTTCAAAAAACTTTTCTAAATTCAAAAAAGCTCATAAAAGCTTTCAAATCATTTTGAGAAAATAAAATGATTATTTATTTTTCTCAAATAATGTTTTTACGATGTTAGGAATAAGAAATTTTTTATTATAATAAATAAATTGAAAGTAAAGCCTTTGAGCTTTTTAAAAAAATCTTAATTTAATTCAAAGAATGACTCAAAAGCTTTTAAATAATTATTTGATAATTAATTTTGTTTATAAATATTTTTTAGGACTCTAAAATCAGATGTATTTAATTAAAAAGCTTTGAAAGATTCGAGCTTTAGAGCTTTTTAACATTGCTTAACTTGTTTATTAAAAAAAGCTTTTGAGAGATTTAAACGTGACTGAATTATTATTATTATTTTTGATATGTAAATATTTCTTTGAACCTAAACTTTAAAGGATTTTTTTTTCTTCTATTAAGAGATCAAAAAGTTGAGCTTTTAAGCTTCCGAAATGCACCACTAGATCATTGATGTTCGCCAATTTGCCACAGAAGGATGGCTTGTTTGGAATTCTTTCAATTTCTCTCAGTATTCTTTTACTACTCTTTTGAATCGCAAACTTAAAAATCCGTTTTTTTTAGGTTATCTCACTAAACCGTAGAGAGATATATTTATGTTGTATTAAGACTGAATGAGCCCTGAATGATGACTGCATCGATAAACGATATTTATGCTTATCTATACGATGCATTCACACGAAGACAATTGAACTGAATATTCCAGGCAGCTTTGTGTTCACTGAACAAGAAAAATTTTGTAAATAAATAGAATACTAAAATATGGATATTTCTATACGCCCATATTTTTCCTACTATCAGTAACAATTATGTTTTCATTGTCAAGAAAATTTTATGAAAGAGTTTAATGAATAATTCAAACCATAAAATGACTTTTTTATAAAAAGCACAAAATTAGAGCTTTTTTTTTTTGACTCGAAATTTTGAATTTTTTTTTTTTCTCTTCATACCAAAGGTGGAATGAAAAAATATAAAACTAAGTCGAGTAGTTACAAATAAAGCTCAAGTGTGTAGAAATTACTTAAATAAATATTCAAATACAGAGCTTTTTTGGTACTTACTCCATCTGGATTATACTTGGGAACGCCACCAAACGTCGTCGCACTGCAAAATTCACCAAGAACATCTTCGAGTTTTCTTGATGAATCTGTGAAGCATGGTAATAAAAATTAAACACTGAATTTTAAATTAGATTAGAAAAAATTTAATTGATAAAGTCAAATAAAAAAAAAAATTAAAATACTAAATACATTTAAGTTTTATTCACCAAGTACTTTATAATCAATTTTTTTTTCTTGTTTTTTATCTTACCACTTTATAATTAACTTTTTCTATCCACTTTTTGATCACAAACTTCTATTAATGAAGTACACAATCATAAGAAAAAATTGAAAAAAAAAATAAAAATTCAATTAAATTATTTAAATCAGTTTTACTTTTGATAATTAAATCTTTGAAAACTTGTAGGACTTAAGGAGGACTTAGAAATTTATTTATTATGATTGAATCAAGTATTGAAGAGAATTTCTAAATCTTTTTATTATTAATTAAAATTTTTTAAGCATCCAAATATAACCTTCTTAAGGCCTACTTTAGAAGTAACTGAACAAAAACCAATTTTTTTGTAAATTTATTGATAAAAATTTGATCTAATTTTTATTAAAGACAAAATTAGATACTAATGGAGATATAAGTGAATGATAATAGCATTATTAATAATAAAAATAATAGTTACAAAAGCATTAAAAGAAAAAAAAAAAGATAAAAAATGATGTTGACACTAGTGTAAATAATATAAAATATCGTAAAAAGCAGTAGTGGGTGTAAATAATTCAACTGACTACTTGATCGTTGTGTTCCTCAATCGGTTGAAGAAAATAGAGATTCAAAGGCTAAAAATATATCATATACATTTACTACATTATGACGTCAAGCGGTTAAAGATCTAACTCAAGGGTTTTCTATTAATACTTGAATACTTTCTAATTAAAAAACTTTTATCGAAAATAATCATTCATTATTACTAGTCAATCAATTCATTCATTGATTACTTTTGATCAATCAAAAACTTTATATCTGTCTAGTTATTTTATTTTCCTTTCAATCATTTCTTTAATTCATTTATCAACTCATCATTGAAAAAAAAAAAAAAAACTTTTTTTATTTTTTTTACAACGAAATAATTTTTTCTTTTTCTTTTTTTTTGGTTTTTAATGATTTTCTAGTTAATCGAAAAGAGAAAATAAATATTACACGATAATGTTTTTTGATAGATTCCAGTGAGTTTAGTGTTGATTATTTATGTTCACTTACAAGCTGCTAAATCTTGAAGCTGTTGAAATTCCGCAGGTGATAATTTATCCCACTGAAGAGTCATCCTCATGCTAAGGTGCTTCGGGTTGAGGTGAAGAAACCCGACTTTGATTAATTACTGACACTGTCACCTAAAGAACAGTCAAAAAAAAATTTATTCAACTATGAATCATTAATTTTATAATAAATTAAACTTTAACATCAAAACATAAAATGATTTATTAGTTTTTCGTTATCCTAATAATAAATTTATTTTTATAATGTGATCATTATCTAGCCTAATATTGATGTACTAAAAATAATAACTTGGGTTAGGCTGCGATTTTTTATCCCCCATTAGTTTATGTTTTTAAGAGATGCATAGGCATTCTTTATTCTCACCAGTAAATTCCACATTTATATAAAATATAATTTAGACGTTATTTTAATGATATTTGAACAATATCTTTAATGTTAGAATTGGTTGTGAATTTCTCAAAAAAAATTGATTGTGTTTTTCAAAAAAAACATAATGAAAGAATAAAAATAATTAGGTTATGAATAAAGATATTTGTTCGATGTCAAGTTAAATATTTATAAAATTTTAAAATATTTTTTATTAATATATAAATTTGACATTGATATATAATTATTCTAATCAAAACAACCCTTACTTATTTAAAAAAAATTTTTTTAATTATATTTTTTAAGAAAAATGATGGAAATATCGCGTTTATAACACTGTAAATTTTAGTGTTTTATTTTAAAACATTAAAAGTGATTTAAAACATCAAAAGTCTCGATTTTAAAACACTTTAAATTATTTTAATTAAATTTATTTTTTTATTTTTAATAATAATAATAATAATAATAATAATAATAATAATAATAATTATAATTAATTAAATAAAAAAAATTAATTAAATTAAATAAAAAAATACTTTTAATGTTTTAAAATAAAACACTAAAATTTACAGTTAATATATAGATAATAATTATTGTTGTAAAAGTAATTTTTTATTTTTTGAATAAAAAATAAAATTAAAAGTTAACGAGATAAATGATGAAATTTATAAGTACCACCAGAGTACAGAAATTTTTACAATTATTCAACATATACGAGGATATTTAACTCAAAAATATTTCACATAAAAAGAATTTTCTTTCTAAAATTTAATTCAAGTACTAAAGTGTAAAGTTTTATATGATAAAAATAAAATAAAACATTGCACAACAAATTATAAAATATTATGTTCTATTTATTTTATTAAAATTTCATCTTTCTTAACACTTTATAATATCACAAAAACAACCTCTCCACCCTTTGCTTACATCAACCCCACAACTTTATTCAATTTTTTCCTCTCACCCTCACTAATCTTTCAAACTCAATTTTCACTAAATATTTTAACGTCATCATTAATTACATCTATTTTGTTTTGACTTTATTTTTTTTTTTTTTTACTCGATTGGTAATAACGAATTTGATCTCATCGACATTTTGCGTGATTAAATCAATTGATGAGCTTTTTAATAAATAATTTTTATTATTCATCCAATTAGTAGAGCTTTTTTGAGCTTTTTTTTTTTAATTTTTGACAACGAAGTGAGTAAAAAAAATATCTATCAATAATTTCATGACAGTAAAGATCTTCTGGCTTTTCTATGATTAATATTAAATAATTGTAAATAAAGCAGAGCTTTTAAAAGCCTCCTATTATTATGAAATAGTGATAAAATAATTGGAAAAAATTTTTAAAAATAGTTTTAGTATGTTTTAGGTGTGTATTAATTAGTGAATATTATAAAGTGATTGATTAAGTTATCACAATTTTTTTATTATTAACAAAAAAGCTGAGCTTTCAACTCCAAACATCTGTATTTATGACAAGTAGGTCAAATAAACGATTTCCAAGTATAAAACTTTTCAAAAATAAATTTCGTAAATTTGGTCAATTGCTAAATCAACAATTTCACGAGTAATGGAATTGATAATATCATACTTATGACCTCTTCTAAAATTTCACGCCATTTTTGTGGTTTAATTTATTTGGAATTTATTCCACTTGGTCCAGAAATCAATTAACTTCCAACATATTGAATATTTATTACAAAATTTTTTTTTTTTTCATTCTTTTCACTTGATTTCAATTTTTTAAAGATAAATCACTATATCATCAATATTTTTCCTATTATTATTTTATGATAAAATTTGTTATTTTTTTGTTTCGTTTATTATTAATTCACAATTCATACAGCACATAAAGAATATTTTTTTACTCTATGAAATATTCTCTTTTATATATTCCTTCAATCAGTCATACACAGAATGCATGAAAAATCGCTTTATCATGTAGGAAAAATTTATTTTAACATGTGTTGTTGATAAATTCACTTTTCTGTAATGAAATCATGGTTTATTTACAACAAAACAACAATAAAACTACATGTTTATTTATTTTTTATAACTGATATCAATAAATATCAATCAAACTTCAAATTTTGAATGGCAATAAAATACTTATTATTTATTTCAAATTAAAATTTTAACATTCGAGAGCTTTAAAAGCTCCAACTAGGCTATTTTAACTCAATTATTTCTCTACTTAATTTAAAACTAAATACTTTTTTGCTGTCATATTTCAACAAATAATTTTTTTTCTTTTTTTTTAAAGTTACTATCTTAGAAAAAAGGAACTTTTTTAACATTAAAAGCTCTTTTGTTCATCTAAAGAATTAAAAGATAATTTTGTCGAGTTGATTAGCTATAAAAGTACGATTTTTTATTTTTTTGTTGATAATAATAAAGGTAATAAATAAAAAACTATTATGTGTCTTTCCTCTTTAAAATGTCCTCCTATATCCTGTTATTGTCCCAATTCGTAAAGGTATTGATTCGTTGGCTACACAACTAAAAAAGCAACTAGATTTCTTTGAATTCTGAACATACCCCTTATTGACACTGCCCGCAACTAATGGCTTGAATTTATTTACTCTGTTTTTTTATGCACCACACAATGACCTAAATAAATTATTATTTTTTTTTTTAATTTCAATTTTAAAGTAGACAAATTTAATGGAGAATATTATTCATTCTTTACCACGTGAGCTTTTTTTTTACCATAATTTTTTTCAGGAATTATTTAAAAATAAAAAACGAATGTCGATATAACCTCCTTTACAATTATTTTACCTCAATAAATGAATTTTTTTATTTTTTTATTTTCGGTCTCTTCGTAATGAATTTTTCAGCGTAATTATAAAAATTGGAATAGAAAAATGAGCTTTCAAGCTTTGAAAGCTTATCATTTTGCGGTGAATCCTGCTGGAAAAATTTTTGGAAAATTCAGTTTAAAATACAGTTCACGAACTTTCAGAACAAATAATAGTTAGAAATATCAAAAATAAACAAAAAAAAATGTTTTTGCATACATTCTTTTGTCTTTATTTTTAATTCATTCCAAAGATAAATAAAAATTTTTCAATGGATGGATAAAAAAGTAGAACATTTGAGCTTTAAAATGCACTTTGATTATTTGAAATTCGGCCATTTTTTTTTTTACTATGATTGGGCCATTCAAAAATCCCCATATAATTTTTTATTTTTTATTAATTTTTTTTTTTTTTTTTTTTTTTTTAAATTCTCTATTTTATTAAATATAATACAAGTATACATGCTTGTTTTATTTATCTATTATTTTTATTTATTTATTTAGAGAGAATTTCAACTCTGTGAATCACAAATATTCCTGTAATTAGCACTCATAGCATATACACCAAACAAAATAAGTCAATATTCATTAAATTTGTATAATTCTCATTTATTATTCTTTAATTGACTTAAAACAAACAAAAATTATTCCAAATCCTTTCTTCTAATTAACATCTGTTTAACTTAAAAAAAATAATCAAAATCATCTCATATTAATATGACGTCACATAATAGAAGAATTATCGTTAGATAGACAACATAATTGACTTTTAGTATCCTTCCCATTTCCGTTAATCCCTGACTCGAAAGAGAAAACAATTTACCGTTCAATGAAGGATACGTATTGGATGCAATTTGTGACTGCAATGGAAATTTTTAAAAAATGTGTAGTCTTGGTAAATGATGGATTTGCTATTGGAAAACGAGTTATTTATAGATGATTACTTATAGCATTGGAAATAAAACCTAAATCCATAAAATCATTTTATCATTTATCTCAAATATTTTTACTTGTATTTTAAATTTTAATAAAATTATTTTTCAATCTTTGGTGAATTTTTAACCACTTAATTTCAAACATCACTAAATGTATAACAGGTCAGTGGTGTCAAGATTTCATTACTTCATAACAAAAAGATGAAAAAAAAAATTTTAAAAATAGAAAAGATACATAAATATGGCCATCTTACCCTGAATATTAATAGGGTAGAGACATTTTATTAGATATGAAATTTGTATTTGTTTGAATAAAGGATACAGATGTTGAAATAAGAAAAGCGTGAATAATATGATGATATAAAGAAGAAGGAGCTTTATATTTCCGGCAATTAAACTTCCATAGGATTATTAAACCACGAAGTTTGGTTTGATGGTAATATTAGTACGCATATCATATGAGATGATATCATGTAAGTTAGAGTGTATGAGATTGAAATCTAACTTACTGATCCACTTGGCAAGAGTCCCAAATTGTCTTGAAACCTACGCTATACCTACAGAATACACAATAATACTATCAAAAATTCGGTCAATTTGAACTTCGATTTCAAGAAGCTGAGCTTTCTTTATTTATTTAGACAATAAATTCATATTTGGGTCAATTTTCTTCGATAAAAGTCACCAATTTTGAAGAAATAAAAATTTTCAATGACTTTGAAAATCAATTTTGACTGAAAATCTACACTAAAAAATTTATATTGAGCTTTAAAAGCTCGAAAAGCATAAAAACTCGTTTGTTTTAATAAAATTTCTCTTCAAATGTATCATTTAAAATTCAATAATTTAAAATCACTTTTCAGAATTAATTGTTTTTTTTTTTTGCATCAATAATGTGTCAAATAATTTTTGCAATTAACGATTTATTTATAATTTTTAACTTTTACAAAGCTTTTAAAGCTCAATTAATAAAATATATTAACAAATTATGCAATAACACTAGAG